GGATACTGGGATAGAGGGATGTGGGAATGTGGGAGTGCAGGGATATGGGAATAGAGGGGCAGCGGGACACACAGGTACAGGTACAGGGGAACGAGGAGATACAGGGATGGGGATACACGATATGGGGACATGGGAACATGGGAGTACAGGGATATGGGGATATGGGGACACGGACACGCAGGGGACACGGACACGGGCATATGGGAATAGGGCGATACACGGATATAGGAACGGGGATATACAGATATGGGGACACGGGAATGGGGATACGCAGATAGGGGGACATGGGAACGTGGGCTTACATGGATACAGGGACATGGGAATGGGGATACAGGGATGGGGGATGCACAGATATGGGTCACAGGAAGGTGGTGATACAGGGATATGGGGACACAGAGATACAGTAACGTGGGGATACATAGATATGGGGATACAGGAACAGGGGGATACACGGATATGGGAACAGGGGGATATGTGGACAGGAGGATGCATGGATATACGGGGATATAGGGACATGAGAACGTAGGGGTACAGGGATATGGGGATATGGGAATGGGGATACAGGAATATGGGGACATGGGAACATAAGGGGATGGGGATATGGGAGCACGGTGCCAGGTGTGCAGTGGGGTGCACATGGGGTGTGAGCTGCGTGGTGGGCTGTGTGGTGTGTGCCCCCTCAGACACACAACAAAGGCACCAGCTCCACACTGGGCTCTGCTGGAACCCTCGCACGTGGCAGCAGCGCTGAGGGATCAAGGCACATCCCCTCCCCTGTGCCGGCCCTGCCAGCATCCCTCCTGCTTTTCCTCGGGCTTTGTTTCCCCCCTTCCTCTTCCGCTCCCCTTGAGAACTGGGGGCTTCTCTCCAGGGCAGCACCAAGGTGGGAACCTGCAGCAGCCCAGAGCCCACAGGGCAGCAGCCTCAGCCAGTTTTGGTTTCACCACTCCCTGCTCTCTTTGCTGGGATGAAAGAGCAGCAATGACTTCTGCAGAGGAACCATCTGCCAGCTGCGCCCCAGATGTGGCTCACAAGGAAACACAGCGAGGCTGGGGATGTTCCCACCAGGACACCCAGGAAAACAGGAGCAGGGCACGATGCGAGGTCCCAGCACCACAAAATCTGCCAAAAGCAGCAGCCCTTCCCAGGGCAGTGTGGGGAGGTGGGGGGCTTCTCACCTGTCCCCAGCAGAGCCAGGCTGGAGCTGCCCACCAGCTCCTGGGCAGGACGTGGGGGCAAAGCTCAGGCTCAGCTCCATCACTGACACTGGGGGCACACTGGGGACAACCACTGGCCTTGTGTCACCACTGCCAGCAGCAGCCAAGGGCTGAAAAGCCCCTCAGCACCGTGGATCCTTTCCCAGGGCACATTGTAAACCCATTGGGCTTTGGGGGTGGCATAGCTGCTGCACCCGTGGGTGCCAGCTCAGGGGCACCAACCCCCCCCTATGTGGGGCCACACAGAGGCCCAGCAGACCTGGAGGGAAGAGAAGGTGCCCAAATGCCTCCCCCTCTCCCTTCCTCTGTCCTGGGACAGCTCTGCTGAGAGTCTCTGGGCCACCCCTCCTCTGTCAGCTCGAGGGCAGGCCGGAGCACTTGTGATTTTGTTTCCAGTCTCAGAGGGAGCAAACAACAAATCCCAGCCGCTGTCCTGCCCCAGGCACTGGTTCCCTGCTTTGGTGGGCAGTGCTGGCTCCAGCACAGCTGGCCCTGCGAGCTGGGAACACCCCCAGCCAGCCCCAGGGGGTGAAACGCAGCCAGCACGAGGCGGGCAGTGATTGGGAACCAGGTGCCAACTTGCTGGAGGAATTAAAAATAAACCAAGTCAGAGCAACATGAATATGGCCCTGAATGTGCCATGGTTGGGTCCTGCTGCAGGGAGCCACCCGGGCTGGCCAAGGCCCAACCAAGCTCTAAACCATTGTTTTCTGCCCCAAAATGCTGCAGAATTGAGCAGAGAGGCCAAGAAGCATCATTCAGTCTTTCCTCATACCTCCTGTGGCTGAGCAAAGGTGCTGCAGCAGATCCACATGCACACACATAGATATATTTTCCAAGCTATCCCACTCCATGACCTCCTAACCCCGGGATATTTCCCTACTGACCCTCTCTTGGGTCACTTTGAACTTGCCACACCATAATAAGGGCTGTAGCTGCAGGAAACCACCCCTCTCATGGATCTTAGGAGTAAAAAAATGGTTTCTTGGGAGCAATGTAAATGTTGGTTTCCTGCAATCTCTCCCTCCTCCACATTTCAGAGGTTTGATTTTGAAGTTGGAAGTGTTACACTGGGATGTCGTGGGAAAAGGCTTCAGATCCCCTCCAGGGAAGGGGGGAAGGAATGAAGTGAAAATACATCCTTGGCAGCACAAATCTCTCCCAGTCAATCAGTTGGATTCACCGCTACCTGCTGTGGAAATTGCTCCTCACATTATGTTTTGAAAGTCTTAATTCTATTTACTAGAGTAAAAAAAGATACTCTGTAGGTATCAAAGGCCAAACCCCCCATCCTCTGGGGGCACCCCTGGCTGGAGTGGCTGCATCCATCGCACCTCCCAGCTCTCTGATCTCATCCCCATGGTCCCATTCTCCTGCCAGCAACACCAGAGAAGCCACAGGCCCTTCCCTGCCAGCTTCCCTTCCCTGTGAGAAATACAACAAAGCCCCTGGGAGCAGCACGGAGTGGGTGGCCGTGCCAGGCTGCTGGGGGAGGGGGGAGAGCTGGGAGCTGGCATCACACGGACACGAGAGGTTGCAGGTTTCTTTGTGTCTCTATTTAACATCTTGGCTCCGTGGGCAGGTGAGGAATGGAGAGACGGGAGAAATGTGTTTTCCTGCTTAAACAAGCGAGAGACACCAAGAACTGAACGAACAGCCTGTGAGGGCTCATCGTGGCCGTTCAGGACTTAAGGGGAACTCGTGAAAACAATGGACAGAGACTTTTTACACAGGCAGATGGTGGTGGGACAAGGGGGAATGGTTTTAAACTGGGAGAGACTGAGATGAGATGTTAGGAGGGTGAGGGTGTGAGGGTGACAAGGCACTGGCCCAGGTTGCCCAGAAAAGCTGTGGCTGCCCCTGGATCCCTGGAAGTCAAGGCCAGGCCAGGCAGGGCTTGGAGCAACCTGGTCCAGTGGATGGTGTCCCTGCCCATGGCAGGGGATGGAACGAGGTGAGTTGTGAGGTGTCTTCCCACCCAAACCATTCCGTGATTCTCAGGCTGCTCTGGACTCTCCTCAGTGGTTCTCAGCCATCTGCCCACACTGCAGCAGGATCTCTCCACCACTCAGGGATTTATTTCCAGCCTGCTTTGGACTGGATGCCTCCATCCCTCAAAGTCCCTGTCACGATACAAATCCCCTCACACGCACACAGATCCCTCGTGCACTGGGCTGACTGACACCCCTGTGTCACACTGACACCACTGTCACACCTTGCTGACCCCGAGGGGGGTAGAAGGGCTGTTTCTGCCTGACCA